TATGGAAGAAGACTGAAACTAGATATTTGATTCAAACAAACTCATATCAGTCATATTTTTGAAATCTGTCCAGCCAAAAACAGACAGATGATTCAAAATGTAATATAACAGAACATTTCAGTATTCTTAAAATTCCACCTTGGTTCACAGGGCAACTGATAAAAAAACAAAACAGCAAATTTTGGTTTGAAATTTTCTGTTTCTCGATCTGAATGCCTGTTTTTGTCATTAAAACATTGTCTCTTACTTCGTATACAAAACTTTCAAAACTGATTCACTGTGTGCTGACAGCCTGAAACACTGCTAGTTTTTGTCTCAACAAATACAGTACTGGTGTGTGGGTTTTTTAAAACATTCTGCTGTTTTCCACTCGGTTCCCACAGCCAAGACTAGACGTCTGTGTGTGTGTGTGTGTGTGTGTGTGTGCTCATGACAACATTGGTAACATTAATATTTTAGCATTGAAACAACAGTTTGAAAACAGAGCTGAATAAAATACAATCAATGAACTATTGATTCCTGTTGACAAAACATGTTCATTGCACAGCATTGTACAGAATAAGCAGAAGAGTCGACAAAATGTTGAAAAAAAGTACAAGATAATGAGCAGACATGCTTACAATCCAAGTACTAAAATACAAATGTCAATCTAAATTACCCAGATGAATTAATATCGAGAAGTCATAATCATCACCGGATGAATGAATATAAAAACAATCACCATCATCATCAACACCCACATCAGTGGTCTGCAGCAGCGGCCATAATTCCAGCACAACATCAGTGTCAGTATAGTATGACTAGATGACTAATAAGAGAGCCATTAAAGTACCGGGTGGCAGCCGACACAAATGAGCGTCTAAAAGCACTCAGCGGAGCACCTCAGCAATATTAGCCATTAGCTTAAGGAGCTCTGCTGCCTAGACACCACTCTGTGCTGCTTTTGTAGAAAGATTACTGCAGTCCAATTACAAGCATTACAGTAGAAAAGAGCAAAGGTAGCAGGAATCCACTTGGTACCATGACAGAAAGCAAGCTGCAGGTCCTCTTTAGGACATGGTTGTAAGAAAATCTGTTACAACCAAAAAAAAAGGCAATTTGTTAAAAAGTTAGAAAGGTGAGCTTGAACTGACAGAGGCTGACAGGCACTAATTTGAACTTCACAGAAGAAGTAAAGGCTTTTAATTGTAGTTATTGATAGGATCTGCCAAGAATGTACCCTTCAGTACAAAGGTATGTGGCTCATGTTTCATAGTAGAATAGTTTAGTGATGACGATGATGCATCCTATTGGAACTGTACATGAGCCACAGGGGCCTGTTTGAGGGAATTTGCAATATGCAATCATTAGTGTGGTCTAACGCTGCAATCATTTGCAGTCACAAAACACTTTTGTAAAATGGGCCATAGGACTGTAAACACATGCTTCAACAAAGACAACATAAGAAGATTATATTC